CACACTCAAGAGGCCAAAGAGCCGCATGTGGCTCACGAGCCGCAGTTTGCTGACCACGGTTCTACACCGTAGAACAAGGACTGCCCTGAGCAGTAAGAATCCATTGTACCTGCAACCAACGCGATGTGACAGGAAACCTTTCTGACAAAGGCAGTGAAAAAGGTCATTGTGTTTTGTGTCCTACGTTCATCGCCAGCGAGGGGGTCAGTCCCCTGGTGCACTATGACCCGGGGAAGCTGCCAATGTGCTGGCATTCTGATTTGTTTTTCACCACAATTAGCCATCCAAGGGCGCAGATGCTCTCTTGCTGGGAATGGCACCCAAAGCTCTCTTTTTCTTTTTAATTAAAAAAATTTTAAAAAATATGTTTTTCTTGATTTTAGAGAGAGAGGAAGGGAGAGGGATAGAGAGATAGAAACATCTGTGAGAGAGAAACACCCATCGCTGGCTGCCTCCTGCACGTCCCCTACTGGGGATGGAGCCCGCCATCTGGCCTGTGCCCTGACCGGGAATGGAACTGTGACCTCCTGGTTCACGGGCCACACTGGCCGGGCCCGAAGCTCTTTATTGAATGTGGCATGAGGGCCAGTGGGCGGGGACCTGAACCCAGAAGCTCAGAGCCACCCTGTCGTTCCGATGCGCTCCTTGAGGAGAGAAAAGCACTGCGAAGGGGCTGTAGGGAGAGGCCTGCGAGCCTGGCACAGCAGCCCTGGAACTGCGTGCCGATGAGTTTACCCGTTTCCGTTTCCTTAAGCCCCCCGGGAGCCCATGTCCCCGGGGGACTCAGTGTCCGCCTTGGTCTCCAAACACCTGTTCAATCTGGGCGTTGAACGGATTCTCCTTCCCCAGGACTTGGGGCCACTGCAGCTGCACCTTGTCCCACAAGTCATCTGCCAGCAGCAGCGACGCCACCTGTGAGGAGAAGCAAAACAGAAATGACAACCCAGTAAAGACTTCACCGGCAAGACCCCCTCTCTTCTTCGTGTGGGGACACACTCTGGATGGTCCGTGATTGCCACCATCATTCTTTGTGTGATCCCTTTCCTGGAGAGGGTGGGACCTATCGCTTGGTTCTCACTTCAGTGAGGATGGAACATTATGTAAAACCACTCTGCCACCGGCGACCCTCCCTGTGGCCCTGGTGAAGCAGGAAGCCACGTGGCAGGGGGTGGAGGGTGCCTCCTGCTGACATCCAGCCGGAGCTGGTCCTCAGTCCTACCTCACAGGGAAATGAATTCTGCCCACAACCCACGTGAATCTGAAAGCAGCTCTGCCCCGGTTGGGTCTCTGGATGAGCACGCGGCCCAGGGGACACACCTGGACTTTAGCCTGTGACACCCTCCTCACTCACAGCGACTCTGAGATAAGAGATGGATATTGTTTCACTGCTGAACTTGTGCTGATTTGTGATTTAGTAATAGAAAACGAACAGACCCTGGCTGGTGTGGCTCAGTGGATAGAGCGTCAGCCTGCGGACTGAAGGGTCCCAGGTTTGCTTCTGTTCAAGGGCACATGCCTGGGTTGTGGGCTTGACCCCCATTGGGGGACGCGCAGGAGGCAGCCGATCAATGATTCTCTCTCATCATTGATGTTTCTATCTCTTGCTCCCTCTCCCTTCCTCTCTGAAATCAATAAAGACAAAAAAGAAAACAAACACACTTCCTCAGAAGCCATTTGTCTATTTCTCCGTGGACAGGTAACACTTACTGTGGGCCTAGAGCTTGGGTTTGGAGCTGAGCCCATCGGATCCTTTCCTAAGGAGCTCCCAGTCTAGTGAGAAAACCCAATGTGCCAAAGGGCACCAGCGAAGCCACAGGGAGGGGGATGCCCTCGCCCGGAAGGGGAA